TTGTTTTCCCAGTTAAGCAGTTGAAACATTGGTTAATTTTGTTTCTACTTCTGCTTAAGATAAAGATGATGCTCTCATGCCCTCTTGTGAGTGTTTGTTTTAAGTTGCAGGCAAGCACAGTCATGCTTGTGCAATTAAAAAAGGAAACTTATATTCTTCAATGAATCCAACCATTTTTGCATCTCCGACTTCATATGTCCTGAATAAGCTAGTTCCCCCCATCATTTCATGCCACTTGTCTTGAAATTTCGTAGTTGTGGCTCGCCTGAAAATCCCTCTGCTACCAGCTGAATGTGAAATTCACATTCTTCAAATACATTGGCTGCTTGAACTCCTGTACTAGATGAAGTTAATTTTTCCCTTTTACATCTGAAGAATCTCCTGTTCTCTACTACCTCTTATGTGGTTAAAATGCTAATAATTGTTAACAATTTCTTTTTTTCATGGTTCATTGTTTTAATTTAAATGCTATATTACCATGTTGCAGGTTCACAAGATCACTTTCTGAAAAGAATACCGCAGGACGCCGGATGGGGTATACTGTAACAGGCATTGTGTTGGGAATGCTAACTTCTATGTTCTGCATCATTCTAATCAAGATACTTCATGCTGCTGTGCCTTCCCTTGCCAGGCAATGGAACTCTAAGAAGTACTTGATACAGTCTTTCCGTCGAGCATGCCTGCTTGTTGCCTATTTCTCTGCTGTTGGTTTGCTTCTATTGCAATATAAAAAAATAATCGGCCTCAGACAGCTAGATATTAACTCTAATATGTGAGGCCAAATCATCTAATTATTTCAGTGAATCGTACATTTGTTACATATGATTAAGAGAGTCATGTACATGTATCAGGTAGCTTTATAAAAAATATCTTTACTTTGGAGCAAATGCAAGCAATATCATTAATTATGGGCTCTTATGAAATACTGGCAACAGTGCTATAGTGATTACCTATTTCTGCTTCAATCGGCCTTCTTGGTAGAGGGAAGTGTTTCATGAACTCTTCTTTGCCATTTTGTTTAATTGTTTGACTGAATTAATTATAAAATAGAACAAATCTTTGAATTAGAATGTTAATGACTTGGCAATTAGTGACAATTTTGGATGGAGATTTTTAATGGAATGATCCAATTATTTCGGAAGCATCAGAGTACCAGCATATAT